TTGTTTTGAGTTGTATAATTTCCCTATATATTTTGGAAATTAGCCACTTGTCAGATATATGATTTGCAAATATTTTCTCCCATTTGATAGGTTGTCTTTTCATTTGTTGATGATTTCCTTTATGTGCAGAAGTTTTTAGTCTACTGTAGAACCACTTATTTTTTCTTTTGTTTCCCTTGCCTGAGTAGACATGGTACTCACAAAGATACTGCTAAGATTGGTGTCAAAGAGAATACTGCCTATGTTTTCTTGTAGGAGTTTCATGGTTTTAGGTCTTACCTTCAAATCTTTACTCCATTTTGCGTTAATTTTTGTTTTGGTATAAGATGATAGTCTACTTTTGTTGTTTTGCACACGGCTATCCAGTTTTCTAAACACCATTTATTGAAGAGAATTTCCTTTCTCCATTGAATATTCTTAGCTCCTTTGTTGAAGATTAGCTGTCTATGGATGTGTGTATTTACTTGTGGACTCTCAATTCTCTTCCATTGATTTGTGTGTTTGTTTTTCTCCCAATACCATGCTATTTTGATTGCTAAGGCCTTGTAGTATATTTTGAATTCATGGAGTGTGATATCTCCAATTTTGTTCTTTTTGCTCAGGATTGCTTTGGATATTTGGGGTCTTTTGTTATTCCATATAAATGTTAGGATTCCTTGTTCTATTTCCGTGAAGAATGTCATTGGGGGACTGGCCCAGGAACGTAGTGGTTAAGTTTCTGCACTCCACTTCAGTGGCCAGGAGTTCACCAGTTCAGATCCTGGGCACAGACCTCTGTACTGCTTGTCAAGCCATACGGTGGCAGGCGTCTCACATATAAAATGGAGGAATACAGGCACAGATGTTATCTCAGGGCCAATCTTCCTCAAGAAGAGGGAAAAAAAGAATGTCATTGGGATTCTGATTGGGATTGCATCGAACCTGTATATTGCTTTACCTTTTAACTACATTTATTCTGCCAATCCATGACTGTAGAATACCTTTCCATTTCTTTGTCTTTTTGATTTCTTTCAATAATGTCTTATAATTTTCAGTGTATAGGTCTTTCACTGCATTGGTTAAATTCATTCCTAGATATTCTTTTTGTTGTGGTTGTAAATATGATTGTATTCTTGATTTCTCTTTCTTCTGCTTCATTATGTGCATATAGAAATGCAGCTGATTTTTGTATGTTGATTTTGTGCCCATCAATACTACTGTATTTATTGATGAATTCTAATAGTTTTTTGGTGGACTCTTTAGAATTTTCTATATATAGAATCATGTCATCTGCAAACAGTCAAAGTTTTACTTCTTTGTTTCCATGCTGGATCCTTTTTATTTTTTTTTTTTCTTGCCTAATTATTCTGGCTCAAACTTCCAGTACTGTGTTGAATAAGAGTGGCAAGAGTGGGCATCCTCATCTGGTTACTGTTCTCAGAGGAATAGCTTTCAGTTTTTCTCTCTGAGTATGATACTGATTGTGTGTTTATCATATATGACCTTTATTATGTTGAGGTACTTTCTTTCTATACCCATTTAATTGAGTTATTATTAGAAATGGATATTGGATCTTGTCAGGTGCTTTCTCTGTGTCTATTGATCACGTACTTTTTATTGTTTGTTTTGTTAATGTGATGTATCACATTGATTGACTTGCTAAAGTTTAACCATCCTTGAATCCCTGGAATAAATACCATTTGATCATGGTGTATGATTATTTTAGTGTATTGGTGTATTTGATTTGCTAGTATTGTGTCGAGGATTTTGCATCCATGTTCATCATTGATAATGACCCGTAATTTTTCTTTTTTGTGTTGTCCTTGTCTGGTTTTAGTATCAGGGTAATGTTGGCTTTGTAGAATGAGTCAGGAAATATCTCATCTTCTTCATTTTTTTCAGAAGAAGTTGAGAAGGATAGATATTAAATCTTCGTTGAATCTTTGGTGGAATTTACCAGAGAAGCTGTCTAGTCCTGCACTTTTGTTTGTTGAGAAGTTTTTGATTACTGTTTCAATCTCTTTACTTGTGATTGGTCTATTCAGATTCTTTAATTCTCCTTTATTCTGTTTTTGGAGGTTGTATAATTCTAAGAATTTGTCCATTTCTTCTAGGTTATCCAATTTGTTGGTGTATATCTTTTCATAGTATTCTTTTATAATCCTTTGTATTTATGTGGTGTTCATTATAATTTCTCCTCTTTCATTTTTTTTATTTGAGTCTACTCTCTTTTTTTCCTAGTAAGTTTGGCTAAGGCTTTGTCAATTTTGTTTATCTTCTCAAAGAACCAGCCACTAGTTTCATTGATCATTTCTACTTTTTTATTCTCTATTTTGTTTATTTCTGCTCTGATTTTTATTATTTCCTTCTTTCTACTGACTTTGGGCTTTGTTTGTTCAGATTTTTATAATTCTTTTAGGTATAGTGTAAGATTCTTTACTTGAGATTTTTCTTGGTTTTTGAAGTAAGTCTATATTGCTATAAACTTCCCTGTTAGAACCACTTTTGGCATGTTGTGTTTTCATTTTCATTTGTCTTCAGGTATTTTTGATTTCTCCTTTGATTTCTTCACTAATCCAATGGTTGTTCAAGACCATGTTGTTTAGTCTCCACATATTTATGACTTTTCCAACTTTGTTCTTGTAGTTGATTTCAAGTTTCACACCACTGTGGTCATAAAAGATGCTCAATATTATTTGAATTTTCCTAAATTTATTGAGGCTTGCTTTGTTTCCAACATATGTTTTATCTTTGAGAATGTTCCACGTACACCTGAGAAGAATATGTAGTCTGCTGTTTCTTGGATAGAATGTTCTTTACATATCCATTAAGTCCATCTGGTCTTGTGTTTCATTTAAGGCTACTGTTTCCTTGTTGAATTTCTGCTGGATGATCTACCTATTGACCTAAGTGGGATGTTAAGGTTCCCTACTATTATTGTGTTGTTGTCAGTTTTTTCCTTTAGGCCTGTGAATAGTTGCTTTATGTAATTTGGTGCTTCTGTGTTAGCCGCATATATATTAATAAGTGTTACATTTCTTTGGGGGAATGTCCCTTTTATCGTTATGTAATGGCCATATTTATCTCTTGTTTTCTTTTTTGTCTTGAAGTCTTTTTTCTCTGACATAAGTATGGCTATACCCACTTTCATTTGCTTGCCATTTGCTTGGAGCATTTTCTTCCATCCCTTCACTCTGAGGCTATGTTTGTCTTTAGAGCTGAGTTCAGTCTCCTGGGGCAACACATTATTAAGAATTGATTTTTAATCCATCTAGCCATTCTGTGTCTTTTGATTGTTGAATTGAATAGGTTTAGAGTGATTATTGATATATGAGGGCTTAATACTACCATTTTATCTTTTGTTTTCTGTTTATTCAATATTTTGATTATTTCTTTTTGCTTGTATTTCTGTCTGCCATTTCCGTTCTGTGGTTTTCTACAATGGTTTTCTCAATTTTCTCTTTATGATTTTTCATTCTGCTTTGATTTTTTTTTGCTTTGTGGTTACCATGAGATTTATTTAAAAGATCTCATAGATCAGATAGTCATTTTTCTGATAGCCTCTTCTCTCCCTTAGCCTATGCAGGTTCCACCCTTTTCCTCTTTCCCATCTATAGTTTTGTTATCACTCATTATTCTTTTTTGTGTTGTGAGTCTGTGACCAAACTGAAGTGATTACGGTTGTTTTCGAAGCATTATTTCTCTTTATCCTTTAGGTTATAAAGTGTTTGCTAACCTATTCTGACATAGAGTTACAATTTTTTGATCCTGTCTGTTCATTAATCTCCTTGGTCAAAGCTTTGAAAATCATTGCCATTTTGTTCAGGCAGGAGGGCTCCTTTCAACATTGTTGTAAGGAAGGCATGGTGATAGTCGACTCTGTCAGATTTTGTTTGTCTTAGAAAGCTTTTATTTCTATCTGAAGGATGCTTTCACTGGAGAGCGTATTCTTGGATGGTAGTCTTTGTCTTCAAGTATTTTGAAAATATCATTCCACTGTCTTCTAGCCTATAGGCTTTCTGTTGAAAACTCTGCTGAAAACCTGTTTGTGGTTCCTTTGTAGGTTATTTTCTTCTCTCTTGCTGCCCTTAATATATTTTCTTTCTCATTGACTTTTGATATGTTTAATATATGCCTTGGAGAAGGTCTTTTTGCCTTGAGGTAATTGGGAGTTTTATTAGCTTCATGTACTTGCATGTCCAATTCTTTCCTTAGATTTGGGAAGTTTTAAGTTATTATTTCTTTGAATAAGCTCTCAGTTCCTTGCTCCCTCTCTTCTCCTTCTGGAATACCTATTATATTTGTTATTTTTCCTAATTTAGTTGGATATCTCTCAAGGAATTTGATCACTTTTTAAAATCTCAAGTCTCATCCCTCCTCCATCTGAATCATTACTAGATTTCTGTCTTCAGGTTCACTAATTCTCTCCTCTATATGGTCTGCTCTGTTTGTAATGCTTTCTACATTATTTTTCGTCTGATTAATTGTGTTCTTCATCTCCAGATTTTCTCTTTGATTTTTTTTGAGTTTCAATTTCTTTGCTCATGTATGCCTTCTAGTCATTAATTTTATTCCTGAGTTCATTGAACTGTTTCTGAGATTTCTCATAACTTGTTGAGTTTCTTTATAACTATTTTGAATTCTATGTCAGTCAGATTCCAGTCTCCTTGACTTCAAGTTTGGTTTCTGGACAGCTGTCATTCTCCTTCTGTCCTTTGCTGTTACTGGAGTTCTTCATAGTATTTGATGAATTGATGCTCTGCCAGCACATTTGTGGTAGTAACCACATTTCTTATTTGGGTATGGTTTTGGTTACTTTGGTTCTCAGAAGCTTCTGATTATATTTGAAAGCCTGCAATTTCCACCTCCACTGCCTCTTCTAGAGGCATCATTAGTGCCCTCCCTGTGCCACTTGTGCCTCTGAGGTTGCTGGTGACTTGCCGCTTACAATGTCACTGCAGTCTCAGTTGTTGCCACTGAGGTCATCAGGCTGCAAATACTTCCATTGCTTTTGGAGTCACCTGGGTCTCCTGTTCTTCTCTAGGCTCTCCTTGAGCTCTCCACAAGGTTCAGATTCTGCTGCCCATTCACCACTTGCTCTTCTGCTATTGAATTTTCGTGAGATGCTGTTTGCACAGCTGCCAGGGATGCTGGGTTCATGGGAGAAGCTACCAGGGACCTGGAGACCAAGGGACTTGTATTCAGCACCTACTGCTGGTGGAGCCAGTGTTGAGGGTGCCACAAGTGGTGGTTGTATCACCAGTTCCACTGTGGTTTCTGAATCCTCTGGTAACATTGTCCACTTGCCACCACTAGGGGTGAGCAGGGGTTAAGGAAGAAAAAGTTGTTGTTGCCAAATCCTTCTGCTGCTATTGGTCTCTGACACCAGCTAGTATTTTTTGAAAACTCAGGTCAGGCTGCCCTGCCCAAGCTCAGAAAATCAAATTTCAGTATACTTTTCCCACTGTTGGAAAGACCTGGCATGACATGAGAGGAGTTCATAACAAGTTTTTTTTTTAGGAAGATTAGCCCTGAGCTGACATATGCTGCCAATTCTCCTCTTTTTGCTGAGGAAGACTGGCCCTGAGCTAACATCCCTGCCCATCTTCCTCTACTTTATATAGGGGATGCCTACCACAGCATGGCTTGCCAAGTGGTGCGATGTCTGCACCTGGGATCTGAACTGGTGAACCCCAGGCCACCAAAGTGAAACCTGCAAACTGGGCTGGCCCCCAAGCCATTTTTTTTTTTATAATTTTCTCGTTCCTACTTTTGATCTGCTCTTTCCCACTTAAATAAATCCCTTTAGCATTTCTTGTAAAACTGGTTTCTTGGTGATAAACTCCTTTAGTTATTGCTTGTCTGGGAAACTCTTTTATCTCTCCTTCCATTCTGAATGATAACCTTGCTGGATAGAGTATTCTTGGCTGTAGGTGTTTTCCTTTCAGCACTTTAAATATATTGTGCCACTACTTCCTGTCCTATAAGGTTTCTGATGAGAAGTCAGCTGATAGCCTTATGGGGTTTCCTTTGTAGGTCACTTGTTGCCTTTCTCTTGTGGCTTTTAGAATTCTCTCTTTATATTTAATTTTGGAAATTTTAATTACAAGATGTCTTGGTGTGGGCCTCTTTGGGTTTATCTTTTTTGTTCTCTCTCTGCTTCCTGTACTTGTATGTCTGTTTTCTTCCTTAGGTTAGGAAAATTTTCAGCTATTATTTCTTCAAATAGATTCTCTGCCATTTAGTCTCTCTCTTCTCCTTCTGAGAAAACTATAATACAAATGTTAGTGTGCTTGGTGTTGTCCCAGAGTTCCCTTTGACTGTTCTCACTCTTTTAAATTATTTTTTATTTATCTGTTCAGCTTGGGTGATTTCCTCTAGTCTTTCATCCAGCTCACTAATCCATTCTTCTGTATCATCTACTCTGCTATTGAGTCCTTCTAGTGAATTTTTCATTTTCAATATTAGATTCTTCATTTCTGATCAATTCCTTTTTTATATTTTGCAATTCTCTGTTGATGGTGTCACTATGTCTATGCATTCTTCTCACAAGATCAGTGATCATCCTTATGACTTTTTGCTTGAACTCATTGTCAGGTAGATTGTGTATTTCTGTTTCATTTACTTCTTTTTCTGGGTTTTTTTGTGTGTATTCACTTGCTTAGAATGTATTTCTTTGACTCCTCATTTTGCCTCTTTCTCTGTGCCCATATTTCTGCATTAGGTGGGCCAGCTATGTGTCCTGATCTTGGAAAAGTGACTTTATATAGGAGACACCTCTTGAAGCCCAGCAGTGTGTCCCCCTCTTTTCACCAGTTCCAAGTGTTCCAGGAGTGACCTCTGTGTGGGTAACATGTCTCCTTCTGTTGCAGCAGGGTTGCTCTTGCTGGAAGTGCCCATGGAGTCTAGTTTGTCTCCCGGCAGGCTGGTTGTAATATTCAGCTGTGTGTGGCTGCTATGGACCATTTCATCAGCTTATTGGGTTTGAGAAGCCCCAGCACAGTTGGTTGCAAGGTCTAATAGCACATTCCAGTTGTAGCTTTTCTGTTAAGTTAGTAGGCTCCCAGCATGGACAGTTGCTAGGCTCAGGGGCTTTCAATTGCTATAGGCCTCCAGCCTGCAAGGCTGTTGCCAGCTAACTCTGAATTGCAGCTGAGTGGGGCTTGCTCTAGGCATAGGTGCATGCAGTTGTTTCAGGCTTTGGGAGGCAGGGCCCATCCCCTATGTGGCTTTTTGAGAAGCATAGGTCTTCTGCCACTGATAAGCTTTACAGCCCACAGGTCCACACTCACCATCAGTACAGTCCTGGCCTGTGCACCCCTCCCAATCCCCTGGAACATACCCATCACCCCACTGCAGAGCCCCCCACACACTACACCAATGCCCTACATAGTCCATCCATTGCTCCTCACACACACCCTGTCCTACAGAAGCAGACCTATACCCTTGCCTGCAGAGGATCCAGGCACCCAGTCTATGCAGGTGGAAAAATTGCCCAAGGGAATGCTGCTGGGTGTGACCAGTCCCTAGGGCAGGCTGCCTGCCCTGACTGAGCTGGATTAAATCAGTGCTCTAATGAATGGGAGAGACCCTGGGCTAACAGGCCAGGGGAAGAACACCAATGGCATCTGCCAGTGTTTGTGTCAGCACACCTGCACTAAGTCACAATAATGCCTGCCGCCAATGTCTCAGTACTTGGATAGGTCTCACCTCTCACCAAGATGTACCCAGAACCTATCAGGTGAGTCACTTTTCACCAAAGGACTGTTCACCTTTCTTTCTGGTGATTTTAGGTTGCTTTCTGAAATGGGTGAATTTGTGCATGGGCCATTTAAGAGCTGGCTTTTTTCTGCTTGTGTTTGATAGTTTTTCTAAGGGTATTCCCCTTTGTAGTTAATAGGCAGTAAAGCCAGATATTATGACACTCATCTCAACTGTGCTGAGTCCAAAGTATGCTGATAGCAGTAACACTCCTCTGTTCAGGCTCCCCTCTGCCAGCTCAACTTCACATTCAGGGAAGGCTGCATACGTTAGGATTGCTCCCACCTAGCTGTGAAACTCTGTGGCTCTCAAAGGTGGCTGTTTTCTCCCCAGAAAGGAATTTCTGCCTCTTCTGCCTCAGTCAGGACTGTCCTTCATTGTGGGGGTTCTTTTTATCCAGGGATAATTGCTCCAAAAATAGTTGTAACATGTTATATTCATGGGAGGAGGTGAGTTCAGAGTCCACCTAAGCCACCATGTAGAATTCTAGTTTCTATTCTGCCCCTGACTCAAGAAAAGGAAGCCATTAGGGAACCCTTGCCTCTAAGGAATTGAAGGCAGAAAAGCGAGGTTTAAGATAGCAAGATGACAGAATAGGAGGGCCCAGTACTCCTCCTCCAACAGAAACTCTGATTGAAAACCATTAATAGAGGAAAATACCTGTATGAGAGTTCCAAAATCTGATGAGAGGTTACAGGAGCCCTGTGGAGCACAGAACAAGAAAAAACAGATTTAAAAGCATACAAAGGAAAAGTTTCACTTTAACCCGAATCTGGCACTGCTCTGCTCCAAGAGAGATTCTCTCAGCCCATGAACTCCCTCACGGGAGAAAGAGAGAACAAGCCCACCCCAGATATATATATAAAATATGTGTGTCATACACATTTACATAATATGCATTGACACACACACACACTGTCCATTCTCATTATTTTCAGTAGTTTGTGTTCTATAAAATAATCTTCAACACTGAATTAGAAAAAATGGGATCATTGTTCCTAGGGGAAATACAGAGTTGGGCTCCTATAAGTTTCTTGTCAGAACATTTTAATGTCAATCAATCAATACATAACCTGGTTTTATGTGTGTTTCTGCTTAAAGGCACCTCATTTAATACATAGTTCTTACAAACACTTAATTGCATGGTCTTTAAATGATTAAAAGTCAGGATATTTGGAGGCCACTTGTGTTATATATGTTCATTTGAGGGCACTTGTGTTCCTCAATAACTTAGTCTCAACAGTGTTGAAAACTGCTCTTCCATATAATTCTTTCCCTGTATACATAGCTGACATTTTAAAACTCCTTCTGCAGCATCCTGAGAAACAGAACCCGCCTCAGTTATAAGTTTACATTCATCATCATTTGTTGCCTTTGAAACGTGTTAGCCAGCCAGGACTAGCTAAAACAAAGTTTTGACATTTTTATGACCTGGGTGACATGACGGTAAATTTCTTTGACCTCACAATAACACTGTCCACTACACATTTTATTAGTTGTCGTCTCATGAGTCTACGAATTTAGCCACTTTTCCATCTTTTCCATTTCCTTATCACACACTATTGATTACTATAGGACTTTCCAGAGTGGCTTCATATGCAGATATGCAAATTTCCTCTTCCTTTGCCTGGTTGTATCATATTTTTGATTCACTGACTTTGAACTCACAACCAACAGTGCTTTAACTCATAACTGAATGAAGCTTATCTAACAAAGTTATTTTTTCCATAAGGCGCATCACAACCTTCTTGCACTTAGGGACACTAGAAAAATATTTTATTCTAGTGCACATCATAAATAAATTTTGAAGATATTTACTTATTCTAGTGCACTTCATCACTACATTTGGCAGTCATTATAAGCACTGAGATCACCAACAAATAGCATATAAATAAAAAAACAGTGGCACTGAATAGAATGCAAAATGACTGTTGTTTATAGTATGAGAGTTGAAACAAAAAGTGAGAGTCTTACCTTGTTCAGCCTCAGCTGGAAATAAGTTCATCAGGCAACTCAAATTTTCCCAGCTCTTTGCATGTCTGCAAATGACTGTAAAACTGTTGTATTTTGGGGGTGAGAAGTAAATTTTAGGGAGAAAGCAAATTTCCAAGTCTAGAATCACCAAGTAATGGAGCTTCACTGTATACATGTAAATTACGTAAGAATAATACTTAAGATAGAAATAATATAATTAAATGTAAAAATAAAATGATAAAATTCCAAGTGTATAATCCAAAGATTGACACAAAAATGATGGAATAATTATTTAAAGATCTAAAAGGAGCCTAGAATACATGTAAAAGCAAACAATAAATCTTAATGCCTGAGAAGATTGTCCATTTAAAGACATCAGATTTTCCATACTATTGTTTATATGCAATTCAATTTTTATCGAAATCACAATTTGATTTATCTCATATAACTAAATAAATTTTCTGTGCTAAAGACAGACAGTAGAAAAGTAGTTGACAAGAGTTGTTTGATTCAGGGGAGGGAATGGGGAGAGGTTGGTAAAATGGTACAAATTTTCACCTA